ATGAGAAATGCAGAAAGTCAAGATATCCAAGTTAACTGTATGATCTTCTAAATACAATTAAGAAACTAACAATTTTAGATGCAAAAAAATTATAGCAGATATAATTTCTCATTTCAAAAATTAATGAATAGTAACTAAAAATTTGTATTCTGAAAATGTATCTTACAAAAGCTTACATCTTTATGAGAATCTTATTTATACATACATCTAAACATACCTTTACTGCTAACTTTTCAAAATTGAGCATTTAATTATAATATATAATGTTATGATGAAATTAAGAAACCAATTGTAGATAAATTTCTTATAAATTTTCCTTTTTTATATTTGACTACATGAAGAAATACATGGCTCCTAAATTGTCCACTGGTCCACAAATGTAACACAAGTACAAGCTAACAAACAGTGAACACACACTTGTACAAAGTGACTATACAAAGTAACTGCTTTAAAATCTTTTAGCTTAGGTTGAGCTACTGGAAGTTTATTTTCTTATGGTCCAGCAGTCTTGAAGATCAAGACAAGGGCGCCAGCATGGCCAGTGTCTGGTGAGGGCCCTCTTCCTGGTTTACAGATGGCTGCTTTGTTGCCATGTTTCACAGGGCAGAGAGAGAGACTGAGGTATTTCTGGTCTTTTCTTATAAGGGAACGAAATCTCATCAGTCTGGGTCCCACCTTCATGACCTTATCACCTCTCGAAGATCTTTTCTTTGTGGCTTCCAGTAGAGAATTTGGGAGAATATAACTGAGCTTATGACAGTCTTTCCCTGCCTTACCCAAACTCCAAGGTTCTTTGCAGATTCTAGCATTAACTCTAACATCATCTAAATATCACCTAAGTGATGAGACTTATAGTCCATCCTGAGGCAAAATCCTGAACCTGAAACTAGGCAACTACTGTCCTTCTAAAATAGGATACAACTGATGGGGCAGGGAACAGGGAATAGTACCTCTACAAGTGAAAAACAGGACAAACATGAGTAATGGGTCCAAGGAAACCCAAAATCTACCACAGAAATTCCATCTAATCTTAAGGCTGAGTGCTTCTGATTTCTGTCCTCTAAGGCTTGGAGTCCAATGTCACACTTGCAGCTGTAGTGACATCCCCACAGGTCTAGGCAGTGGTCCTGCCCACAAGGCTCTAGGTAGAGGTGAAGAGACCTACTGAAACTGAAGTGGTGGCCCAGATGACCTCTGATATCACCTGGGACATCATTTTCCTTGTTCTTGAAGGCTTGTCTAGTTCTATCACTCTGTGTTATCAAATGCAAAAAGCTCAACAATTTTCTTTCATTCTAGCACATCTCTACTCCTTTCATTTGAAACTGGCAGTGTTTCTGCTCACATAACCCCTTAGGAACTTTGTTAGGCAACAGGCCAGCAACACTCTAGGTGTTCTGATCAAAATATCCTTTCTTT